TTTTTTTTTTCGTGGGATATTTTCTGATGATGTACGGAGGTTTGTCTCGTCTCACCAAGGCGATGACAGCTGCGCAGCCCAGATGCTCACAGCTGTACCGTTTTAGAAGTAAAATTGAATTTTTCAAACTTTACCTACGGTTAAACGCATTTGAACACGAAAACTGTCCTGTGAATCATTTGGCTAAAGCTTCGCTTAGGTTTGGATTTGCTGGAAAATTTATTGAAAAGCGGAACAAACAATACTGAAGCACTTTCTGAAGGACTCTAGCAAAAAATATATGGAAGTTTCTAATTTTTGGATTTTTTCTGACTACAACTGACGACCCTCCACTATCCCGAGTTTCTTCGTTGCTCACGGAGAGTTTTTCGCAATTTTTCCGACAATACCTAAGAAGGAAATTAAAGTGAGGAAGGGACTTTGCTGTGTCAAATATAAGAGGCTTATACAGCAAAGAAATTTATTCGTTGGTCACAAGGAACTGAGCTTTTTTTTTGAAGAATGGCTCGGATTTGAATTGAGGTTATGAGTTCAAGTATATGAGATTAATTAGACAACCCTTCTGTCAAAACAACTAAAAAAAAAATAAATAAATAAATAAAGTTGAAGTTAGGAGTGCACAGAAATGAAATTTTCAACCAGTGGGATCACTAGTTGACAAAAAGCTGGACGTAAATCGCTTCGTTTTTTAGGAAGAAATAATGCGCAGGTCGTCGGCAAGAGAGGAGAAAAAATTAGAAATTCTGGCTTCTAGTTTTCATGCTTCCTCTTAGCGTCTTTATCCTAAGCTTTAAAGTTTTTTCGTATTTCTGATGATCATTAAACCACCGAATGAATTTCAGTGGAGGATCTTCATTGACAAAATTAGGTATATTAAGCTATACAATATGGTAGTACTTTGAAATGCGTATCTTGCAAGTACTGAAGGAGGGGTTACAGGGGAGAAGTTAGGGAGTAAAGGAATCTGACCTGATTTAAATATGAGTTAAGTCCTCGTATAAGCCACTTTTAGACTGGACTTCTGATAGTTTTTTGCAACAAAAAGTGGTCATGTGCATAGAATGAAACAGTCGGGAATTCGCACTAGTGGAATACACAGAATTAATATTTGTGCTTGGGCTTATTACCCGCTTGACTCTAAAGAGGGTAGCAACCCAAAACACAAATATCAGTACTGCTTTGGTTAATTACTAGGTAGTTCAAAACAAAATATCGGAGCAAGAAGGGGTGCGGTCGTTGGCAAAAGTGAAAAACGGCAATAAGCAACCTTTCTTATTACTTCCTTTCTAGCCATCTTCTGCACAGTTGTCGACGGAAAATTAGGTCTAATTCAAGTACTTTGAGTGGCGTTTCACTAAGATATCCAAATGCCTCTTTTGATTAGAAATGCATTGGTCTAACGAGATGACAACTGGTGACCTTGCACCCACCTTACGTTGCGAGTGGGGCAAAACTTCCTTCCAAAAAACCCCCTTGATGTTTGCTGAAGGATATTTTCCAGTCTTGCCAAGGGAAGGCTTCACAGTTGAGTCAGGGTCGTTTTGACAAATTATGTGAATCACTTAGTTTAGTTGGCAAGTTCAAATGCAACTGTTTTTGGTAACTTGTCGTTACTTGGTGCTGCTGACCAACAATAAAGCGCTAAACTCCGTTCCATAGACCCATGTTAGTGTCCCTTACAAGTTTCGGCATATCTAACTACCGTTGCAATGTATCTGACGCCACCGTGGATGATGTCATCTAGGGGACGCCTACTAGACGAAGACACTGAGAAACTTATGAAAAGTTACTTGAAGTGAAACTTTTTAACCAGTTTTCTAACACCCTTAGAACGATATTCAACTGTTAGGATCAGTACTGTGACTACGGCTTAAAAGATGGTTCTTGTAATTACAAGAACCAAAGCGGCGAGTAGGAGTGTGTTTTACCTTCATGGAAATAGAACTGAAAGGCGGCAGTCTTCAGGTCTGCCGACGCAGGAAGCATTGAAGCTCTAAACAACTGTAGGATAAACGCATGAGTTTTACGATTATCATGTTGCTTTCAAAAAGTACATTTTCTTGAGTGGAAGGCGTTTAACAGGTGCACTGCGATGAAGAGCGGTGAGTTAATTCTAATTCTAACCCCCAACCTCATCGCCATTCCACCGTTTCTTCCAGCAAATACGCATATTGAGCACGACAGATAAAAATAGTGTGGCATTGCTGATCAAATGAAAATTTATAAATTTATAACGATTACAATTTCTGTACACAAGTTATTGCAAGATAACCAGTGATCAGGGAACTGAAAAAATAACATGTTGTACATAGAACTGGATATACATTCAACCATTATTTATCTGCTACGTGAACAAAATGAAAGAAAACAATGTTCCAAAGTTTAGAAACACCCGAGCTTTAAATAAGAAAAGAAGAACAAAGCCCCAGTAATTTTAAAGCTTCTGTTCTAAAAACTTGAAAAGAAAACACGACCATGTGTTCTAAAAGACACTCGAGCAACTTTACTTTCTCACTCCTTTAAAATGATGACCTGAAAGACTACTCTTCACCAAAACAGTTTATGATGGCAAATTATGTACAACTGAAGATCGATGAAATGTTTTATGCGGTGAAAAAATTGGTCTTAAAATACAGTAAAAAACCTTGAACAGAAAGTTCCAGACTAGTTCTCTTCTCTATGGAAAGTAAGGGTATATGAAAATAAACGTAAGGATGGAAGAAAGCTACTTAAAAATAAAGTGCGCCATATCAAAATTTCTTCAAGGAGTAGAAAAATTCAACAGTACACTTAAAACCACTCTTATTCTTCAACGCTTTCCCAAATAAAGCGAGTAATTTGTAATTTGTATTATTAGCAGGAAACATTTGGAAACTAAAAAGTTCAGAACTAAGGAATTCAAGTTGGTCAAGTAAAAATAAGCTGTAACAACTATGCAAATTGAAACCAATCCAACAAACAAACGAAAGACGCCCAATTTTAAAGCAACAAAAAATTAACAATGGAGAAAGTCAAGACCTCTTCAGTGGTCGTAAATTGGTAACGGATGCCCCTCAGAGTTAAAGACGTATCTGTCTAGAGGTATGTCTGTCTTCTCATCATCAAAAAGCAGGTAAAGATATTTCAAGGTTTCAGCCAGAAAGAATGACTCCATCATGTCTCTGAAAATTGTGTAACTTTATAAACAATTTAAGGGCTCGGATGTTGCAGGTGTTCAGCATCGCAGCTTATGAAAAAGTGAATAACAATTGAATTCATAAAAGTGTATAATGAATCTAAAACAGTAATGCTATTAAATTGTCAGACCATGTTACCTATGAACTACTGGGGCCCGTTTAACGTTGTTTACAGATGAGTATCCGCCTGGAACTTTGGCATATTTTGTAAAAGCTTCAAACGCCTTCCAACCCCAATCCTGGTATTCTTTTTTCCCTGTAGCTCTGTATAAATAAAACCAGGCTTCTATCGCTTCTGGACGTAGCAGACAATGAGCATCCATTTCCTAAACCCTTAATTTTGGTAAAATGAAAGGAAACACAAATAGAGCACTTTTACATTGTCTAAAACAAAGACCGAGCACCACGAACTACGAAAAAGACAGAAGAATTAAAAACGAAATGCAGTAAAGCGGTCGTCGCTGCTAATGCGTACAAAGTGCACTCTTGCTCCTTGCGTCTCGAAATTGAACTACTCTATGAATTTGTTTTTTGTAGTTCAACTAAGTGGGATGAAAGTTATAAAAGAAGAAAAGAATTTTGAGTATAAATGCAAGGATTTATTTGTTTCTTACACAATCGCCTAAAAACGTCTATTATGCTATGTCTTTTTGCTGGAAGGAGAGGAAAATGTGAAATTAGCAAAACTCGCAAAATTTCAACTTCACTAACCTCGAATCCAACCAGTTCGGGGCAGAAAAAATTATTTGAAAAATTAACCCTGAATAACCATATTACCTTTAAAGTTTCAAAATGTAGATGAATTTAAAGAACTCTGAACAGTAATTTACTTTAAAAGCTTCAATCAGTAGAGCATTTAAACGGATTCTATTCCATAAAGTTGTGTTACAGCCCTTCTGGAAAATAACTTTCTTAATAACATACAAATTGTCATTTCCTTACACAGAGTGTCCGAAAACCCAAGGCATTTTTCGTCCTGCATTCTCAAAGAAAACGCTTACAAAAACGGTTGACAACATACAGTATTTCCCTCTTAACTTCCGCAGAGTTACATATCACAGAAAGACTTCAAAAACCTTTTAAAACTCAAATTTGCAAACTCCATTTTAATTCTTCTATGGCTTTTATTTCGCTTATTTGAATACCTGGAATTTTACCTATATAGGAATTTAATTGTCCGTCACAGGGAGCACAAGTCTCGCTTCTCAGCCGCACTGGTGCCAGTCACCGTCGTGAATTTCATTTTAATTAGTCAACAAGTTGGCAAAGAGAAAAGCGGTCAAAATGAAACCTTTATAGAAACATCAGTTCCTTGACCAGCAACCACGTTGAAGTAGATAATTTCAGGCGCCAATCCTGTTGCCGTCCTATACATTTTCTCGCAGCCAAGCCCAATCGCCTCTCCAAGTTCTAAATGAGACTCAGAGAGTCCGTTCAAACTTCCCAGTGCTAAAGTACCGGCAAGAAAACAAACGAGATGGTCCTAAATGAAGCCATTAAAGCACCTTTTTAAAATAAATAAAGGCTTCATTTTCAGTGACCACTCAATATAACTCATAAGAGCTAGAACCCTGAAATATCATATTGGAAAAACTCGCGCAATTTTCATACAAATTATAACAAAAACATAATAACCATTTTTGGAGAAAAACTTTTAGTAGGCAAAATCTCTCCAACAAATGTAAATTTGCTTGGCTCCGACTTTCTAATTACATGTTTCTCCATAGCCAATATTGATTTCACATAATCTTCCTTAAGCCTAAATGAATATTACGCATGAATAACGGGATTATTAACTTCACTTTAAAAGCATACACTTGAAAACCCTTCTTGAATAAATATTTACGGAACTTACTTAAATAAATATATATTCAAATGAAGTTTTTATAAGGAAGAATACACAACTTAGTCCAAACTTTCTGCTTCCGCCAGTTAGAGCCCAAGTTTAGATAAAATATTTCAAAACAATTTTTTAATGTCTCATACCAATCAACTGTCTTTCCCATTTGCAACCACTGCTTCAAAAGATATTCATAATAACTATCAGCGCGAGCTCCCACTGTGATTGTAGAAACACCTAGATTTTGTGAACGTCAATAAAACAAAATTTGTCGAAAAATGTCATAAAATTAGGAAAGCTAAGAAATGAAAAATGAAAAGAACGTGACTGTAAACAACATAAAAAGAAGGCATAAAATTTTGCTTCAGTTACTGAATTACTTTTAAATAAGCCCGTCTTTGGATCGATAAACATCCCACAAAGTCCGTCATATTCATTGCATCCTATATCATGAATATGCTCAGAAGTGGCAAATGTAGTTTTCTGAAACAAACTACCCACACGATCAAGGGGAAGGAACAATCAAGTTTCAAGTACGTTCAAGTAGAAAGAAAACCTAAATTTATAGTAATAACCTCAAACGTAGAATTCCCCGTTACCCTTGACAGGTCGCGAAACTCAAGCTGTACTGTTGTCACCTCCGACAATGAACTGTCACCGTTGCCTAACGGTGGTTTTGCCGTCCTACAAAGAAAATCTCCATAAAAAAAATTTTTCCAGAACTTTAACAAAAAGTAAAAAATTATTTCAAAAAATTTACCATTGCAGTCAGCTAATGCCTCAAAACATAATAAAAATTTAATTTAAATAATTCTGGATAATGATGCCATATTTCTCCGATCCTTTTTCATGTGAGATCAGAATTCTGTGATAAAAAAGCAACTTAACAACCATCTTGCAACTCTAAATCACTTTAGCTACTTCCCTTTTATACTCTGCTACGCTGCCAAAGCCGAATTTCCCCGTATTTTCAAAACCTGCGGCTTACTTTTGAGGCAACTTTGCTCACCTAATCATTATAAGTGCCAAAAAATCGATAAATAGCTAACTTAAAATATTGAACAAACTCGAACAACTATTTTAACCGTAACAGTTTCACACAAACAAAATTTTTGAATACCCCGCCATCAACAAAGCAGCAAAATTTATCAAACGCCATAACCAGACTCATATCGATCTGGAAAGCAAAAAAATCAAAAACCGGTCAAAAGCCTGATTTTTTGAGAAAAACAACCGATTTTTTGATTCTTTAAGATTATCCTCAATGAACTCCCAAGACATACGGAATGGAAATACTGCGCACAGCGGAGGCTTCTTTTTTGGCTAACAAACTTTGAATAAACAATTCCAAAGAGTCCCTCCACATTATATCTCAATCACCTCCCAAAAACTGAGTTTCTTCATCCCGCTTGCTACGTTACACGCCAAGCCCAGAATCTATAGGTATGCAGTTAGCTTCTTGAAAAAATTTTAACTGTCCTCCTTTCTTTATTTTATTACCTACACAGGGTCAATCTATCCCCTTACCAGCTTTGTAACACATCAAATCCAACGGAAAAATTATGGAATCACGTTCATATTAGTGAAAGGATAGTGTTTAAAAGATTAGTTCTACAGCATCTTCAAATCACATTTTTCTGAAGACTATTTTTCATTACCAGTCAGAAATAAACTCAGGTTTGTGTAAGTTTGAAGTGTGAAGAGCTTAATAGCACTTCCGCTGATGAAATTCAACTAATTCTTCAAAACTCGTTAGGGATTTAACTAAAGCTGACAATGAAGAGTCATCTAACAAAAACTGTTAATCACTGAGAGGTGTTGTAGCAGGTGACTTAGGACTTCTAACATGAACGACTGACAGGTCTTAGCATTTCTTGATGTCCTTTGTAATTAGCAACCTTGCATTTTCTCATGACAAACTGTCTACAGTTCTACTGTCTTAATTGTCCAAAACTCTTCTCCTGCCGTTATAAATCCTTCCTAGTTAAAAACTCTGCACCATCTTCATATGATATGAAAAACAGGGGTTCAAAATACCAACAATTTTAAACAATCCTTTCTAGTCAGAAAAAAATTATATTAAATTGAAGTTCCCCTTGAATCCTGCTGCTTAATGTTACACAAATATTCCACGCAGAAAGGTCAAAAGTTAATCAGAGATCTGTACTATTAGTAATCCTAGATGTTTGAGCTCACAATGAAAAGATGAGCAAACATCCCCAACAAATGTTTATAACAGAATTACAAAGAACAGTATAATTTACCTCATTTTAAGATTCACATCGCTCAGCGGCACAACTGACGATCCAACGTACGCAGAAATCAACCTTTCTCCTAAATCCCTAGCCTTTTCAACGAACATTTTGTCCCCGCTAAGATGATAAGCACTGAGTAAGCCACCAAGCACACGAATACTTACTTCAAAGAAACTCACAAAAACGTTTTTTTCGAAAGTTAGTGACTCCGCGACCCAGTTGCGGGATTCTTCAAATTCTAAAAAAAATTAAACCTAAACCTCAAGTCAAGAGTTAAATTAACAATAAGAAAGGTTTGCTGTCAGTAAATTTAAACATTACTCAGAAAGAAGGCCAAGGGGAAGTACTTACAAAGGTACAAAATGATAATTCCCATAAGACTCACCATCGTCCAAACCCATTATCAACATGGTATCCAAAGAGTCAACGATTGTTAATCCAATGCCGAACCAGTCTGAGAACGTCCTTGAAACAGGTTTCAGATTGTCATGGCCCCAAGCGTAGCTTTTGTAACCCTTCCAAGCGTGCCTAAACGCTTCAACGACTGCATGTTGCCTTTCATTCTGTGGCCCTAAAAAGATACATTTATAACGAAGCATGGTTAACGAAAATGAAATCAATTTTTGCAACCTAGCACTTAATTATCCAAAAATAAGTAAGTACGTAACATTTCCTAAATAACTTACCTCTAAATTTTGGATATTTAGGCTTCTCAATGTTCCCCTGCTGGACATTCTCCCCATCTTCTTTTTCTCTGACACTTTGTTCTTTACTTCTACCGAAACCATCATTCTGCACACTCCTGCCCTGAATGTAAAAAAAAGTATTTCAACAGACAGTCAAGAAACGGGACTTGCAATTAAAATTTAGAACAAAAAGTAACCATTCAATTTCTTTCACAAGTTGCTAAACCGGCAAGAAATTGCCTTTGACTTTTGAATACCTGCTCTAAAATTCGGCCTTGTTCTCTGGGAAACGCAACTGATGTACCATTAATAAATCTGAATCCAAAAAAATAACACAACACTACCATCGCAAAAAATATTACCATGAGGAGAACATTACGCTGTAGTCGTGAAAGAGATCGCCATAGCTGAAATTACCAAAATTACGAAAGTTCATAAAAATAAAAATTTACTCATGTACTCAAGTAAAAATACTGAAAGCAGTCAACTCGCTATTCAACATCAATCGTTCCAAGGTGATGAGAGAAGTCAAAAACTTTCTGACAGGTCACTTATTTTTGATTCTTGCCAAATTATTTAAATCCAAAGAATTTTTA